TTTGTCACATTATGAGCATTCACTACAGTACTCGCAGCACTAACCTTGTGTCGCCTCAGGTAAAACAAGAAGTCTTTTCAGAAGACTTTATGATGCACGTACGTCTAAGTATAAAAATTCCACTAGACCATATTTGGCACGTACTTTATGTGATGAAAATACTGTTAGGCATCAGCTAATTAACCTTCTTAGCACTATTAAATAAACCATTCTCTCCACCCTTACAAAATCAACCTTTATTGTACTTCTCATATTCATAATCCCCTCAAGTTTTTGTTTTTATTTGTTTATTTTTTCATAAGTGTGAACTTCATTTAAGCTGTGCTGTTAATTTTGTCTTTCGCCTCACTATACTATATCAACAGAACATTAGATCCAATAATCTATAACATACTAAAATTTCCACGCCAAACTGAATCGACAATACTGTTTGAAACAAACTCGCTGTGATTATTACTATTATTATGTTTAATACTGTCAGTTAGTGCTTCGAATATTTTTGACCTTATATCGTAAACGTGGACAAATTCCTCTGGTTACTTTGGTTTTAATTTTTAATTTTATTTATATTTTAAGTAAATCAGATGCAGTATTGTGACAAATGCTGAGAATTCCATTATGCATTATAAGTACTGTCTGTTTTGGAATAAAGTAGATTATTATTATTTTATGATTGATAGAAATCGGGCAAATTTAAATGAAGAATTATCAGTTTTATATTCATCCAACTCATGGTGCGTGTATCGATCTGTCTGTCTGTTTTCGACATAGAACTTTACACATATGTGCTGCAATTCAAGTCGCCACACTCCCTCCATGTACCGCACAAAGCAAGAGAAGAAAGTAGAAGAAATGCATAAGAGACAGTAAACAGAGGTGTGAGACAACGGAAGTGTTATAACGAAGAACACAACAGTTTCATTGGAAATTATATCTCACAAGGAGTGGATGCATCTGCGCCACTGAGAACGATTGTGAGCCATGTCACCAATTGTTTACAGCCTCCATTGGTTTTTACCGTCCCGAGGACCCCAACCAGGAAGCCGTTCTACACCTTCCTAAGTGGCTTAAAATAAATGTTGTGGATCTCATTGACTGATGAAGCCATGTTTTGGTTTCACCTCCGCTAGCTTTTCTCCAGCCTGACCCTATATCAGCTAACATCGCTCGTCGAGGAAGGCGAAGACTAGGTATACGTAACACATGTCCTAACCATCTCAGTCGATGTAACTTCACAGCCTCGTCGAGTGATTTCCCCTGCTTACCTAGAGCTCGACACGCAACCTCAATATTTACTCAATATTGCGTGTATCGGTCATTCAGTGTAGCAGGATGCTTGCCGGCCACGCGGATGTACGCCGATTCCTAAGCCTCGTCTGAGTTTACTAGCAAATAGTAGGTTGGAAGAATAGGGCTGTCAGACAAAAAATACTGAAATACCTCTCTAATGATAACCGATGAACACAGCATCAATTGTAATTACAGAAAATTAAAACTAGGTCATTCTTTGTTTTTATAGTTCTTATTTGTTTTTTTCTTGTGTTCTTTTAAGGGTGGCATAATTTTCCAGATGTCTAGGTGGAGTGGTGTTTAATAATTCATTTTTCACGCATTCTCAATTAATCAACTGACAATGAGTACTATTAAACCAGAGTTATAAAGTTGTTTTTTATTGTTACAGTTGATACAGTATAATTGTGGATGATAATAATAAATTCTGTTTAAACCCTTACCATCCAGTAAATGTTATAGAATTAAATATTACACCACACAGTGTACCCAAGTTTTACACATATCTTCAGATAGCCAGTGAGTGATTTCCAACATAGGACTTCGTACACAAAGGTGTGACCGCATTTTAATTTACCACACTTTAAGTAACATACAAAGGTACAAAGGGAAATAAGAAATTTAAAAAAACACAACACGAATATAATCGGTTGGAGGATTTCATCATGAGCTGACATCATTTAGAGAAACGCCTGGAAAACCTGGGAGTACTGGACAGCCTGCTGGTTTATCAATCTAGTTTGGGACTCTTCATCAGTACGCACCCACCCAATTGGGTTCGAACTCACGACCTTCTGGTCACAAGGCTAGCGAGGTCGTAGACCACTGAGCCACTGGAACCCGATCCAATGGGCAGCCCGTGAATTCTTACCTCTGCCAATTCATGACAGCGCGACCATTTCACAGTGTCTTCTTCTTACTGTCCCACCTTCAACCTGCTGTACCCTACTGGTCACGGCTTCCCACTAGAACCCCCAGGTGACTACTTGAATAGTACCAGTCGCTAGTGAGCATCAGACTAATTGTCAAGTATTGATTTTGTAGGAATTTGGTTTGACTGGTGGAGGATTTCATCATGAGCTGACGACTGTCTGGTTCTCCCAGGTTTTCCAGTGGCTCTCTAACGGATGTCAGTTCCAACCAATCAAACAAAATCGCTACAAAACAAATATAATCAGCAGAAATGTGTTGGGAGATCGTGCAGAATGAATCCATTTGCGCCAATGAAAACAGAGGATTCAAGCCATATCACCAACAGTATCAAACCATTGGATCTTAGCATTTGACGAGCATCACAATCAGACAGTTTACATCTTGAATCAACTCTTGAAAACTATACAGATTGATGCCAGACCTGCACACAACTTGTATCTAAACTTTGATTGGACATTAGTCAGTAACTAATGTGATGTGCATGTCTAGTCCTCTGAATTCTATCAGTCACGTTTGCACATGTAGTCACCATGCCACTAGGTAGTTCACCATCACGATGCACTTTGAATTGCTGATGTTAGATGTTTGCAGGCAATCGGTAACAGGACGCCTTGCATGACCTAAGTTTCGTGCCAGTTGGCAATCACTAGTCTGCGAGATGTATTTGCAACCGCCTCGAAGGAGGGAACAACTGATGTCCCTTCTGAGATTCAAAACCCGAGTCACTCAGTGTCAGAGAAGTTACCACTGCAACAGCTATTCAGGCTCACGATTGGTCTTATTTAAGACTCTATGTAAACTCTCAGCAATCTTATAATAATAATAATACTGTTTAAATTTAATATTATATAATACCAGAATAAAAATAAATTTATTTGATGCAATGACTAACTTACTTTTCTTCACTTTTGGTGGATTCCATACACGAGTTGATTTGATTTGATTTGACACTGGTGTTATTGGCGTAGGAAGAGTACAACTAGTCGAGTTTGAAGATTCATCCAAAATTTCTGATGAATCTGAATTAACATTTTTTATTTGTTGTTGTGGTAGGAGGATACCAACGCTAGGAGTAGTCATTTGGTGCTGCTGATGATAGTGTACTGTTTGATTTCCATCATTCAATCCATTCTCTGCTGTGAACACTGTTCGTTCAGAAGGTATATTATGCGAAGTTGGAGTTGGTAGGTTCGATTGTATATAAGTCATTTGGTTTCCGACTGGATTCAATACACTCATCACATTAGTTGTCGCTGTTGTTCTGCATTCCATCTGACTTGGATGTGATGCAGGCGAAGGATCATGAAAGGAATAAGTATTGTCAGTTGGTTTGTTACTATTATTATTATTATTATTATTGTTATTACTATTGTTACTATTACTGTTGTGATCTAACGGGATCCAATCAATTTGTGATCGTTGTTGTTGTTGTTGTCTCAGTGAATCTTCCTGAATAATCATATGCTTTGATAGCATTTGTTTGTATTTCATGCTTTCAAATTTTTTTGATAAATGAATTCCAGTCTAAGCTTTTATTTTTTTGTCTTTCAAATAAGTAATATGGGAATAGAGGAAATGAAATATTTTAAAAAAATTATAGTTTTCAAATGATTTGCATTCAATTAACGGATACGGGAAGTAACGAGAATTATTTATGTGTATGGTATTATACGCATCTGTATATATATGTGTGTGTGGGCGGTGGTAAATAGGCGTAATCTCTACAAATCAATATTTATATATGAATATATGGTTAGAATATTTCCAGGTCAAATGAGTCAAGCCTAATGTCGATTGGTCGATTGAATATGATAAAAAATTTCAACCAATCGGGAATTAGAATGTGTATTAAGGGCAGTAAAGAAGACAAACAATCAATCGAATGAAGATAGTGATTCAAGTGAAAGGTCAATTGTAGAATTTTTCGTTTTTTATCTAGGCAACTCCATAGATGGAGTTAATCAGTTAATGAAACTGCAATGTTCGATTTAAAAAACAAAAATTTAAACGTCCTAAAATATAAGGAAATGCTATAAGTTGAAACAGAATAGGTTATGTCGAAAGAACAATAGAGAAACAATGGCGGAAGGTTCAGAGAAGAGTAGGCTTGTAAGATATAATATTCTCACGAAAACCACAAGTGCACATTCGTTTTAAACTCCGAAAAAACTCATCCAATCCGTGAAAAAATTAAAAAATAACAGAGTGAGCACGAAAAAACCTATTGGTTGAAGGAGTAAGTAATTATAAAAATTATATAACAAAACAATATTATATAATAAAAATTTAGACGAACAAAAAAATACACGCATTGTACCACATTTCAAAAAAATCATTTCGGAAATCCACCGAAAAAAAACAACATACAATCAAAATAAATTAGAAAACAAAGGAGACGGAATATGAATAAAAGGAGAAAATTAAAAAGAAAAAAACAGACATAAAAGTTAAGGAAAACGACACAAAAATAACAAAAGGAATGAAGCCATCACAAAACACATAAATGACACATTGATATTCTGATATACGTGGGGAAGAGAGATAGAGGTTGAGTCAGTTTGAGAGATAACGGTAGATGAAATGAGAGTGAGAAAAAGGTGTACCACCTGGATATACCAGAGTGGTATATACTGGATTTTATCAAAAGGTGCGCAGATATAATGAGGACAGCGTACCTGTGATAATATTTAAGAATATATTAGGTATGCAAGCATTCTACACTGCGGAATGTGTATCTGTGGGTAGCGGATATATATCGGCTATATGGGTTGAGTGAATTATTGAGTGAGTGTGGTTATTTGTAGTGAATTGTGAAATGAGTAGTTTAATTTAAAAAAATTAGTCCCTTTGATAAATTTGAACAAGGTATTAAGAAGACAAATTTCGCGAGATGATATCATCATTTCGTAGTTTCTTTACAACCGATTTACAACTAACATGGTTAACAATGATAAAATAAAGTTCATGAAAATTACTCAGTTAAATAACAACAAAAGTACATCCTAATGACTAATCATATTAAGATGGGTCATGCAGTCTAGCGTAGGCGAAGATTGAAGTCTATTGATTTTTGTACACACAGTTTAGGCTGTATGTGATTAATCCAAGGTGCTTCCATCACCTTCAATAACCTTCAATTAGAGTTATGTGAAATAATTGTGAAACAGTCATTAATATTTATTTTGTGACCAGACATTAATAAGTGTTTTGCAATGGATGATGCTGGATTTCTATTAAGATTAATCGCGTTGGGATTTTCGATATGATTTACTAGCCATTTTGGAATATGTTCTTTTCGACGACATTGGAACATTCTGTTAGTTCTACCTATGTAGGTGTCACCGCAGCTGCAGGTGAACTTGTAGATACAGTTTGAAGTAGAGTCCACAGAATTTCCTCCTGTAATCGTAGGTAGAGTAATCGAAAATTCTCGGTATGTGAGGGAAAGAGATATGGCGTAGAATGTGCGCTTAATGGCTGATTGGAGTGTTTGAGTAGCTGTCAACTGCATAATCTGGTCACCCTTGAATGGTAGGTTAATAAAGATAGCTTTCTTTGGCACAGAAGCTGTCTTTACGAGATGTGGTCTTTCTTTACCGTGACAAGTGATAAGGTTTTCTGGATAACCATTAGCTAATAGAACTGAATGTATATGTCAAAGCTCATCCATGAATGTGTCACTCGTGCATATTTTTCGGGCCCTTGAGAACAAACATTTCACTAGGGAACGTTTATACTGGATAGGAACAAAACTGGTAAAATGAAGATATTGTCCAGTCCATGTTTGTTTACGAAAAATAGAGCGCTGAATCGTTCCATCATTTCTCCTAATCATAGTAATATCCAGGAAACCAAGTTTGTTATTCGATTCTAGTTAGGAAGTCACTCGAATATTTGGATGAATATGATTAAATAGAGTAATGAAGTTTTCAATAGATTTACTATTATTACCAATAATAAGAGTATCATCTACATAACGTTTATACAGCATAAATCCTCCAAGCATACCTTGCATTTGTTTCTCTAATTTCGACATAAATATATCTGCTAACAGGGGCCCCAGAGGAATCCCCATCGCAACACCATCGATTTGTTTATATGCCTTTTCTTGGAATGTGAATCTGATATTTTCTGTACACATTAAGATTATGTCTTTGATGTAAGTGACGGGAATGGGTAAGTTTATGCCATTGCTTGTGATGTAATCGCAAATAAAATCAACAGTTTCATGAAGGGGAACATTGGTGAATAAAGATTCTATGTCAATTGAACACATAACCTTTTCCTTAATGTTCAAGGTGTCCAGCATTTCTGTAAGATCAAATGAACTTTTTACAGAATGATTTGATAATGAGTCTCTTACAGGCGTAAAGACCTCTGTAATCCATTTGGCGATTTTATGATAAGGAGAATTTGACATGTCTAAGATGGGTCTCAGTGGGTTCCCAGTTTTGTGGATCTTCGGAAGACCATAAAGCTGAGGAGTATGTGACCCAATTGGTTTAAGTTGTTTATAAAGTTTTTCATTTATAAAACCATGCATCAGTAAAATCTGAAGCTGTCGATTGATCTGCTTTTCCACAAGCAGTGCATTATCAGTAGCATTGTCCAGCAGAAATTTGGACTGGTCTTTGAGGATATCGTTCATTTTATTTTGATAATCCGATTTGTTCATAATGACAATGCCTTCTCCCTTATCAGGTTTAAGGATCGCAAGATTATCTTTTTCGATTAATTCCTTAAGTGCGGCGTGGTGTTCTTTTGATAAACCATTTTTCTGGTGTATTCTAGCATTTAGAAATTGATGAGAAATGTCCACCAGTTTAACTTTAAACCAGTCCAGATTATCTTTATTAGAGGGAGTCAAATCAGAGATTTGGTCATACAGGTTTTCATACTGTGACTGAACTTCCATTTTGTTAATTTTCATGGGAATAGTTTTGTACTTCATTCCATAAGATAATGCTTCCAACTGTAGTTGGGATAGAGTGCATGTAGATAAATTAATTATATGTTTGTGGATATCTTGAGGAAATTCCAAAGTATGATTTGAGTCTTTCAAAGATTTTGTTAATTTTTCTTCGGTAGAACTTATCGTCTTTTTTACCATATCATTGCAAAATACTGTGAATTTAATTTGACATACTGAAGATAAATTATCCAAAACGGGATTTAATCTTTGGTGTGTTTCAATAAATTTCGAAAAATTGTCATTAATTTCATCAATTTCTAATTCAGCAAGATCCTGAAGTTTGGAGAGTGAAGATTTTGACTTATTCCGACGTAGTGATTTGTAAAATGATATAGGATAATGTTTATTTTCTATGCAGTTGATAGGATCCCACATATTTTGGTATTGACTGTTAATTTTGTATATATGGTATATTATCATTCTCACACATTTTGTTATTGACTGTCAATCTCGCACATATGGTATATTATCATCTCTCACGCACTTTGTTATTGGCTATTAAGATCAATTATTTCAAATGCTGTTAGCTGTCCATATTGTTGTAAAATGTATAAATACCATGGCTTTCTTTCTCGTTGTTGCACTTCAATACACAGTCACAGTCCAGCCTTTGTCTTTTGATATTTGCGTGCTTTACTAAATCGGAAGGTACGACAAGCAGATAGGCAGATTAGTTCAGGCGCAGACAGAGCAAGGTGAAAACGTCTTCCTTCAATTCCCTACAGATATAACAGCAGTAATTGTTCTTTCTCAATTACAATTTTACATCTCAGATTTAGAAGACGGTTCAGAAGTCTTATAGTATCTTCCGGGAGCCTTCGTTTGAGAAAATTAAAACAATTAGTCCCTTTGATAAATTTGAACAAGGCATTAAGAAGACAAATTTTTCGAGATAATATCATTTCGTAGTTTCTTTACAACCGCTTTACCACTAACAGGGTTTTATCGCAACTACATAGAAAATAAAAATTATCCTATATCATTTTACAAATTACTACGTCGGAATAAGTCAAAATCTTCACTCTCCAAACTTCAGGATCTTGCTGAATTAGAAATTGATGAAATTAATGACAAACTTTCGAAATTAATTGAAACACACCAAAGATTAAATCCCGTCTTGGATAATTTATCTTTAGTACGTCAAATTAAATTCACAGTATTTTGCAATGATATGAGGATTGGCCCATTAACCAAACAATAAAGTTCTAGTGGCACTAGCTACTGCTACCACTGATACTACTATGAAACACTCCTCGTCATCATCGATCGCTCATAACTTACCCACCACACACTACACACCAATCAACCACTGCATACCCCATCTATCACGCACGCAGCAATGCACAAAGTCCATACCACACCCACAGATCACCATTCACACACTATCCTCATACCATACTCCACACTGACTTCCCATCACTCTCTCTAGCCCTCACTCCCTCTCACTCTCTCTCACTCTCTCTCGCTCTCTCTCACTCACTCCCACTATCTACAAACAACACTC